AAAAAAAAAAAAAAAAAAAAAAAAAGAGTCACATGCTCTACAGACTGAGTCAGCCAGGAACCCTGACCCCTTTTAAAAAAAAATCACATTACTCTTTAATATAAGGGCTTCAATATTCACATGTGTTAAATTGTACCTAACCAGACACGACTCTTAGTAAATGACAGAGCTACTTCTGTCATTTAATCTGTCAATACACTAGTTGTTAAAATAGTTCAAAATCACTCAATGAAAATTTAAAAATATTAAACAGTTGGTATACAGGTTAGTGTGAAAACCGGGAAATATAAAACCTAGCTTCCTCCAGCTTCAGATTTCTTCACCCACACGTATTGAACCATTTGCTGAGCCAGGACTCTGCTGGGCTCTGGCACTAAGTCACAAGGTTCTCCTTACATACTTGTCCCATGGAAATATGTATCATAGTCATATAAGAGCCTATAAACTCACACTCACTTAGCTGAGTTATAAATGTAATTATACATTACAGTTATTCATTGCCGAATATTGTTACCAGCGTTCCAGCAGGCCTGGGTTTTAGAACTTATAAAGATTATGTCCATTCCTATGTGACTTTCATATATCTTCTGTGATGATAATCTGTCTAATCCGAAACTCAGTTACTGTTTGCCACTTGCTCTTAGTATGTGAATAGCCTTCTCTTCAGTGGGATTCCTCCATTCAGCTCCACCTCCTTACATTTTTTTCTTCACTGTTCCTGCCAAAATAATTTTCTCTGTTTACCAGTTGATTTGACAAATGTATTTGTTATCTATTACTGTGTAACAAACTATCACAAATTTCAAAATGTGCTTCAAAAAGCACTGATTTATTAAACCACAGTTAAAATTTTTTTTTAATGTTTATTTATTTTTGAGAGAGAGAGACAGAGTGTGAGTGGGGAGGAGGTGCAGAGAGACAGGGAGACACAATCTGAAGCAGCTCCAGGCTCTGAGCTGTCAGCATGGAGCCCAATATGGAGCTTGAACCTGTGAACTGCTGGATCATGACCTGAGCCAAAGTCAGACGCTTAACCTACTGAGCCACCCAGGCGCCCCAATTAACCCACAGTTTTATAGGTCAGAAGTCCAACACAGTGGAGCTGGGTTCTTTGTGTGAGATGAACTCAAGGCCAAAATCAAAGTATCAGCTGGACTGATTTCTTGTCTGGAGACTCTGGGGAAAAAATCAACTTTTTTGTTTTTTAATGTGTATTTATTTATTTTTGACAGAGCACGAGTAGGGTAGAAGCAGAGAGAAAGGGCGACACAGAATCCAAAGCAGGTTCGAACCCACAAACCATGAGATCATGACCTGAGCCAAAGTCTGATGGGTAATCAAGTGAGCCACCCAGGCGCCCTGAAAAAATAAACTTGTAAGCTCATGCTTCCTGTTGGCAGAATCCAGATATTTGCAGTTGTAGGGCTAAGATTTCTGCCTACCTGGGGTGCCTGGGTGGCTCATTCGGTTAAGCATCTAACTTTGGCTCAGGTCATGATCTCACGGTTCGTGGGGTCTAGCCCCGCGTTGGGCTCTGTGCTGACAGCTCAGAGCCTGGAGTCTGTTCCAGATTCTTTGTCTCCCTCTCTCTCTGCCCCTCCCCTGCTCACGTCTCTCTCTCTCTCTCTCAAAAATAAATAAACAGTAAAGAAAAGAAAGATTTCTGCCCACTTGCTGGATGTCACCTGGAACCTGCTTTTAGCAACTAGATCCCACCCATACTGCCCCTCCATCTTCAGGCCAGAAATAGTGAACTGAACCATTCTCATGCTCCAAATCTCTGATTTCCTCTTCTGCCAGCTGGAGAAAACTCCAAACTTTTAAGGGTTTTGGGCCATTAAGTTATGTACATCTTGATAATCCTCTTTTCTTACAGTCACCTGTGTAATATAATCTAATCCTGGAGTAAAAGCCACCAGATTCATAGTCATGAAGCTGACTCCGGCTGGGGGTGGGGGTGAGGGGAGGAGGCAGTCCCACCTGCACCGCACTCCTCCCCCCCCATAAGACTCGGCCCTCTGCAGCGGACCGTGGGCAACCTCAGCTCCGTTTGGTCCCGGTCTGACTGTTACATGTCACTGTCTCCCTCCCTCAGGGCAGCAGCCCAAGGTGCGTCCCACGTGCTCACTGAGCCCCATCACCTCCGCGTCCTCAGACGCTCCAGCTGCTCAGATCTGCTCCTTGCAGATCCTCGGCCTGTAAACAATCCATGTTGTCAGGCACAAGGGGCACCCTGTGCGGCTTCTCGGAGGAGGGGCTATGAATATTAAGGTATGTTACAGTTATTCAAAACAAAACAAAACAAAACAAAACAACAAAACTGAAGACGGCACCATTCCCGAACACAGAGTGCCTATAGTCACTTGACTGAATTACTTAACATCTTAAGAGCTGACGGTCCTAAAATTTCTACCAAGAGACCAGAAATTAAGTTTTTGCATTCTTCTGCCATCTGGGCCTTGAATGAAAAAGAAAATCGTATCTAATCCTCAATTCCAGTTTTATTCAGAGACAAAAACAAAAATAAAAAAGGAAAATAAAATAAAAGGCGTTTTTTGGAGGCAGGGGCGGAGAGCTGGTATGGTGTCTTATTCTAACTGATCACTCTTACTCATTTATCACAGCTCCTGGGTGGCCTCGTGGTGAACATTGTATAAAGTTATAGACCAAAATGCTTTATTTAGTTTTTGACATGGTGCTTTTTGATTTAGATTTTTAATAAATATAATTCAATTTTTTCAGTACTTTTTTATTGTTGCAAATAACTGAAAACTTGTCTCAAATCACCTTAAAATTAAGAGGTTGAGTTTTTTCGTCACTGAAAAAGGGTTAGCCAGGCTTTGGGACTTCATTTGGAGCTTAATAATGTTATTAAGGGCCAGCTTTCCCCTTCTTTCCCCTTTACCTTCTAACAGGTGATCTTTATTCCAAGTCTGGTGCCCTCTAGTGGCCGTAAAGTGACTTGCAACAACTCGCAATACAGTGTACGGTTACCATTCACATCTCGTAGGAGAAAGAACAGCTCTGAGCCAACCTGCTGAATTTCATGTTTCCTGGATGTGGGTAAGGTCCATGGCCGCTTCCAAACAGTGACCTAGCCAGGGAAATGGAGTGTGTTGGTGTGTTGTCACCAACACAGGATACCTGGAGAGGAGTAAGATACTTGGAAACAAATCCTGATATTATATACAAGATACCAAACGCTATGTGATACAATCTCTGTTGTTTTTTTTTCTCAGAAAGAGAGATGGCACCAGTGAGCGAGGGGCAGAGAGAGAGAGAGAGAAGTGGGGCTCACCCTAAGTGAGGCTCGTGTTCACCCGAAGAAATGCTCAAGCTCATCCAATGTGGGACTCGAACTCATGAACTGTGAAATCATGACCTGAGCCGAAGTCAGATGGTTAAGGACTGAGCTATTAGGTGCCCTACAATCTCTGCTTTATAAGGTAATTTGTAAAAACCCTCTTTTTATACTTTTAAAAATTCTGGCATATATGCAGTCACTCTAACTGTATTTGGATGAACCATTTATTGGCATTGTATACCTTTTATGGTTTTTATCCAGTTTATAGATAGTCTAACTCCCAATGGTTGAGAAATACCAAAAGGCTGCTGAAATAATTTCACATTTCCTTAATAAATAACAGCTAGATGCTGCCTTCAGTGTAGTCCAAGAACATTTTCCTAAAAGGCTTAAACTCCTTAAAAACATGGCAAGTGGCAACTTTTTGTCTAACTTGAGGGTTGAATTTTTTTGAACTAATACAAATAACAGTATCCTCAAAATGTCTCATTAAGTTAATGCTAATTGCAGAGAATAACTTTTTAAAAAATGTTTATTTTTGAGAGAGAGAGAGAGAGAGAGAGTGAGCAGGGGAGGGGCAGAGACAGGCTCTAAGCTCTGAGCTGTCAACACAGAGCCAATGCAGGGCTCGAACTCATGAATGGAACTGCAAGATCATGACCTGAGCTCAAGTCAGACACTTCACTGACTGAACCATCCAGGTGTCCCAAGAATAGCTTTTAATAGGCAGAAGAAACTGTAATGTGTTGTGAATAAGCCAGTTCTCCAAACGGCAAGATTATCCCTTTCTTGATATGGGGATGGAAGATGAGGTCCGTCTCTGATCTCAGGATTCTCATAGCTTGGAGATTTAAATACTTGGAGTCGTTGCTTGGAAAGGATAATTCAGTAAATAAAGGTCAATACATGAAATAGGGTTGGAATAGTATAGATGAAAAGGATCTTTCTCGACAGCAGGATTCTCTCTCTCCTTCTGATTTAGCATAGATCTAGAAACCATCAAACTATTCTTTGCTGACGCCTGACAGGGAGCAAGACCTTTCCTTAAAACTTACCTGTCAGTTCAAATATTAAAAAAAGAAAGATCAAACTAGTCTTACTTATGTGCTTTGCAAAGCTCCAAAAATCAGGGAATTTTCTCACCAAATGCCTGAGGTTTGGTGGGTTGTGGTTTCCCCGTAAATGACATTAACCCCTTCTTCATTCCCCTTCAGTGGCTCCACCATCTCATCACGGTGCATATTGCCTGCGGCAGCTTCTGCAGAAAACTGATGGCCAGCGAAGGCCGTGGCCTCACACCCACGGCCAATAAAACCACGGCGTCAAAGGTACGCATTCAGTGGGGGAAGATGATTTCTCAACATTTTGCCCTCAACTCCCAGGACTTCCTCTTCAATGCTTCTTGGAGGTCTTATAAAAGACTTTATCTCCTCTATTTCCTCCAGTGGGATATTTTACCTGGATTATTATCACAACTATTTGGCTTCGTGCAATGAAATTAGTGGTGATTCCATTTGTTGAAATCATATGTAGACGGCAGTGCTCTCTGCCTTATTACCAAATGAGTACAGCGTGCCCTTCAATAATTCTTTAAACTCTCAAATGCCATGGAAATAATATGCTGGAATATTACTGAGCTGTGACTGAAGCACCATTTGTGCTAAATATGACAGCGCGCAAATGATATTCCTCTATAAAAGTTCAAACTACATTAATCTTTTAGGGAGGTTCATTGACTGGGAAGATGGCTTAGACATAAAATATATAAAATAAAGACATTGAGGGCTCACTGAGGAGAGCTTTTCTGGTCAGGATTTCTAGGAACAAGTGTAGCTAACCTAAGGTCTGTAAGTTAACCATTTTTGAATAGAATGTGAGCAAGAGAATGCAGTTCCGAAGGGGAGAGATTGAGATGATAATGCCCATATTTCAATACGAAGAAAAACGGGCTTTCAGGTCTGAGAAATACAAGGTAAAGGACAGGGAGTAAACAACTGAGACCAATACACAATCTTATTGTTGTGAGAACTGGGGACAAATGTGACGAGAATTCCCAGGTTGGCGTCTAGAGTCCCAGCCCTTGTCCAGCTGCTGTTTAGAAGAATGGCGGGCTCTTCCTACGCAGTCTCTCAAAAGCCACTTTGTCTGTCATTTTCTCTTACCTTAGGGCTGCACGGAGAGACACATGCATGAACACCGTCTTCTTTTCCTGGGTTTCTAGAGGGGGCAGTAAGTCAGTTGGGTAGTAGCACACACAACAGGTGAAAATGGGTAAGAGATTTAATTAGCATTAACAAAAGTCGTTTCAATGTAAATATGATATACGATTATATTTCTTGGTACTAGTTTTTCTAAAATGTATGGGGGCGCCTGGGTGGCTCAGTCGTTTAAGCGTCCGACTTCAGCTCGGGTCATGATCTCATGGTCCGTGGGTTCGAGCCCCGCGTCGGGCTCTGTGCTGACAGCTCAGAGCCTGGAGCTGCTTCGGATTCTGTGTCTCCCTCTCTCTCTTTGCGCCTCCCCAGCTCATACTGTCTCTCTCTCTCTCAGAAAGAAATGAAACATTAAAAAAATGTATGGAATGTTTAAAAACAACATTGCCATTAAAAAAAATTATAAATGGGGGCGCCTGGGTGGCTTGGTCGGTTGAGCGTACTTTCACTTGGGTCACGGTCTCGCGGTTCGTGGGTTCGGGCCCCACGTCGGGCTCTGTGCTGGCTGCCAGCTCAGAGCCTGGAGCCTGTTTCAGTCTGTGACTCCCTCTCTCTCTGACCCTCCCCTGCTCATGCTGTCTCTCTCTCTCCTAGAAATAAATAAAAATATTTTTTAAAAAAATTATAAATGTAATATATATTTATTCAATGCAGAAAACATGTACCAGTATAGAAACACAAAGGGAAAGTCACCTGTCATCACAGTGTCCAGAGAAAACCGTCACTAATGTGCTGGCCTGTATCTCATAGTCTCCATTCTGTAGAGACAAAGACACAGTATCTTTTTACTTTATTTTGTTTTACATTTAAATTCCGGTTTAGCTGGGGCACCTGGGTGGCTCAGTTGGTTGAGCACTGGACTTCGGCTCAGGTCGTGATCTCACGGTTTGTGAGTTCGAGCCCCACAACGGGCTCTGTGCTGACAGCCCAGAGCCTGGAGCCCTCTCTCAGAGCACAGAATCCCTCTCTCTCCACCCCTTCCCTACTTGCTCTCTGCCTCTCTCTCTCAAAAATAAATGAACGTTTCAAAAATTAAAAACAATTAAGAAAATTCCAGCTAGTTAACACACAGTGTACTATTAGTTTCGGGTGTACAATATAGTTATTCGGGACTTCCATGGAACACGCAGGGCTCGTCACAAGTGCAATCCTTAATCCCCATCGCCAATTTAATCCATTCTCTCACCCACTTCTCCTCTGGTAACTATCATATTGTTCTCTATAGTTAATAGTCTATTTCTTGGTTTACCAAGATACCAAATACTCTCTCTTTTTTACAGTATCACCAACAAATACTCAACAATGTATTTCCCCATGTCAATAAATAAGATAATCCCCACAGGGGTTTATGATTAACATTTTTATTAAAAATTTTTATATTATTTATTATAATTATAATATTATTATAAATGTAATATGTATATCCTTTCCCAAAGATAAAGTAAGCAATACAAAAAGCTCTAAAAAGAAGTGAATATCAGGGGCACCTGGGTGCCTCAGTTGGTTGAGCATTCCACTCTTGATTTTGGCTCAGGTCATGATTTCAGGGTCATGGGATCGAGCCTCAAACTGGGCTCTGCACGGAACCTGGAGCCTGCTTGGGATTCTCGCTCTCTCCCTCTGTCCCTCCCCACCCGACCGTGCTCGCTCTCTCTCTCTAAGAAAAAAGAAAGGTAAAGTTGTCTCTGCCAGGCAAATCTCTGCTCAGACCTCACTTTTCCGTGAGGACTTCCGGACCCGATCTGCCTCTCGTAGCGCCATGCCGGTTCCTCCCTGCCATACTTTGCCTTGCCTTTTTGTTTTTCATAGCATTTACCACCTGCTACCATATACGATGTAATTTGTTTACACGTCATGTTTCTTGTTTGCGTGTTTACCTCTGGAGAATGTAAACCCCTTAAGGACAAGGAGTTTTGTCTGTTTGGTTCCCAAGTACCCAGAGTAGTGTCTGCCATATAAATAGCTGCTCAATTAATATATGTTTACTATATTAATTAAATAGCATTGGAGGGTGAGATCATGAGGGTGGGTAAGAAGAGAGGAGGGGAAAGATCTGAGGACTCTTATAGAGGTAGAATCTATAAGACTTAGAGAAAAAAAATGAACCGGAGATATCACTACAATCCTGTACTAGAGTGATTCCCTGCCTTTTCACTATTGAATTATCCCGTCAATTATTTTTAGGTCTTTTCCCAATAACTTATAGCTAACTGATAGAGATTCATAGAACTAGGTCAAAAGAGTCTATTATTTTTATGTTAAATATATATTGAATACTTGCGGCCAGAACCAATTGACCTATTGATTTGAGAGCCAGGACAGGAAGTCCATTTACCTGCCAAGTTCTGATTTTCCATGTCAGAAAGAATCCTTGCACTATTGATTAGCTGCTTCTGGGTACCACCAGTGCATTTCACTACTGGATGTTTCTAAATGAGGATTAAGGCAGAGATGGTGACTTTTAGATACCAGTTAATGCAATAACAGAGATCAGTATTGTAAATAAAAGTTTTCTATTACCCAAGCTATGGGACAGGATGTTGACTTTGCCATTCAGCCTCATTTACTACAGGGAAGTCATTTAATGTTTTCCCCCAAAGCATTTCTGTTTGCCTTTGAGTCTTGCCTGTGGCACTAAGATGGTAAAGAATATCCCTGCCTAGACTCTTCACTGTCAGTGATATGTGGTGTAACAGTGCTAATAAGCTACTTGATGATGGGTAAATATTTTGTAATGTTTTTTTCTGGCATGTATATCAAAGGATCTACTCAGCTTCATTCTGCAAGCTTTGCTCTCTCCCTGCCCACTCAAACCCCTAATCCTGGCACTTGGATGCAAAACAAGCCAATAGATCAAAGCCCTAAATATTCGTAGCCACCCTACGGCGGTGTATTCCATACATCTGGAAACTCTGATGCAGTTCTAATACTAGACACTTGCGATACCTTTTCTTACTCATATCCTCCACCCTAATAAGAAAGTTTTCCTTAAGAGCTTTGGTTTTTCCCTTAAACTTCTTTTCCTCCCACCAGTTTTCCACGTCACAGTAAAAGGCATCACACACAGACTTCTGATTACTTGAACCAGAAACGCAGCAGTATCCATGGTGCCACTATCCTCCCCACATATGCCGTCCAATCAGGAGCCGTCTTAAGATGTGTTAACATTAACCCTTGTACGTGTCCAGATGAGGCCACCTTCATCTTCCCACTGCCTTTGAAGGAATCTTTCCTCTTGAGCCTCTGATCCCCTTCAACTCATTTTCTCTAGGACAGCCAAGTGACCTTCTTAAAACATGAATTGGATCAGATCAATCTCAGTTTAAGCCCTTCAGTGACGTTTTTGCATGTATTCCCTTTAGAATGTGGGCCCAATCAGACAAGGAGCTGTCTTGTTCGCTATTGTATTTTCAGGGCTTTGGACAATGCCTTGTATATAGTTTGTGCCCAGTAAGTACTTTTAGAATGAAGGAAGTTTGATAATCTATATGTTTCTAAAAAATGTGAGGTCCTCTTCCATCTTTTCTTGGAATCACAACAGTAAGAGTTGGAATGGACCTTAGAGATGATCTGGTTTAACCTCCTTTTGTATCTAATTTCACAGCTTCTTGTATTTACCTCAGTGGAATGTAAACTCCATAAGGACAAAGAGTTTTATCTGTTTGGTTCCCAGGTGCCCAGAATAGTGCCTATCATATAAATAGCTGCTCAATTAATATATGTTGACTGTATTAATTAAATAGCATTTCACAATTAGAGGTTGCCTAGCTCACCACTTTGGAGCTATTTTGATGCTAGCCTCTGCCTCCGTTTCCTGTGTGATCAGTCTCTGGTCATTAACATTCACTATCTACAGGGCCTCTTGGATTGGGTTCTTTCTCATGGCTTCTACAGCTTGACCGCATCCTGTCCCTCATCACTGAATATAATTAGTCAATAATTTGAATTATTGAGAAAATATGGTAGCTGAGTTTCTTTCTGATTTATTTTCTACCAGTTTTATTTTCTGCCATTTCCCCAGGTAATTATTAGTCCATTATTCTTCTACTTAAGAGCGTACCTGCCTGGGGGCACCTGGGTGGCTCAGTTGGTTAAGCATCTGACTCTTGATTTCAGCTCAGGTCATGATCTCATGGTTGGTTTCATGGGATTGAGCCCTGTGTGGAGCATCCCCTGCATGGGATTCTCTCTTTCGGGCTCTCTCTGCCTCTCCTCCACTTATGTGCACACACGTGTGCACTCTCTCTCACAATAAATAAACTTAAAAAAAAAAAAAAAAAAGAGTGTACCTGCCTGATCAGATCTAAATTCCTTTGCTTAACATTAAGGGGCAGGAACCATCTTTTTTCTCTGTACCTATTCATGCCACTTCTCAGACACAGCTTCTCCTTTCCCGGCAAGCCTTACAATAAAGAGGTGCTTGTTCCTACTTTTGTTCAAGGTATTATATCCTTTCCTCAGGACCCAGGTCATGACTTTGTCTTAAAGACTTAATTTCTTAACTTCATTTCACAGAAATACGTTGAAAAAAAAAAAAAATAGGTCAGGAGCCCCTGGGTGGCTCAGTCGGTTAAGATGCAGACTTGGTTTCAGCTCAGGTCATGAAATCATGGTTCATAAGTTCGAGCGTCGCATTGGGCTCTGTGCTGACGGTGTGGAGCCTGCTTGGGATTTTCTTCTTCTCTCTCATTCTGCCCCTCCATTGCTCATGTTCTCTCTCTCTCTCAAAATAAATAAATAAACATTAAAAAATACGTCATAATACTTAATATGACTTATTACTTCCTCGCATATTTTATGAATCTCTTATGTAACAAGGGTCATGGTGGGGCCTAATTGACAAGTGTACCTTAAAAAAATCTGATATAACTGCATAAATACCAGAAAACTTCCTTCCATAAGGAGCCTAAGTCTCCTGTGGAATGTGTTGAAGAAAGCCTTTGGATTTACTATTGGACTTCTGAAATACTCGGATAAAGATGTCTCTAGAAAGAGAAGAAGCAAAGTTTGTTTTAAAAACTAAATAAAAGCAGCGATCCTAGTAAGAAAGGGAGTTAAGGGGAGATGCACTGTCTGAGATTTGGTCTTGATTGTGCCCAGGCCCCAAGGCAATGTATTTGTTATCTTTTCCCAAATAAGGAATACAATTCAGGAAAGTTTACAGTATGTTATCACACCTTTAAAAAAATCTTCTAAGAATGTTGTGTATATTAAATAAATTATAATATTTGCCCTGGCAGATTTAACATTTTTATATGGACCATGTGCAAGTAACTCCTAAACTTGTAGATTTGCTGAAGTGCAAATGGAAGGCAAGGACATTGTGAAACTTATTTGGAGGCTTCCAAGCTATGAAAGACTTCGATGAACATTTGCTGCGTGAATGAATTGGCCTCATCCAAGGAATGACTCTCCTGGAGTAATAAGAGTGTTGTTACTTTGTGAAAATATCCTTCAAAACACAGTGTATTCCCAGTTATGTGTTACTATTACTGAATAGTCTTAAAGTCTGGAAGATCACAGGAAACATGCCTTGTGGACATCAAGACTTTACTGTGTTGGGTTTGGTAATTAGTGTTCACCATGCCAATCAGCCAGTGGGGACATTGGTGCTTGGGCTTTGTAAATACTTTGTTTTCATGGCCTTGGGACTTCCTGATTATATAGCCATTTTGAGGAACATTCCTGGTAAAACTGATGACAGTCCTCCAAGTACATGGAAACATGTTCTCCCTTCGCCCTTCTTTTTAAAAGA